AATGTGACAGGGTCGTGGCGTCTGGGTGGCTCAGTCGGGTAAGCGTCCAACTCTTCGTATCGGTTCAGGTGGTGATCTTGCGGTCGTGAGATCAAGCCCCATGTCAGGCTCCACACTGAGCATGGAGCCTACTTGGGATTCTCTCTCTCCCTTTCTCTCTGCCCCTCCCCTGCTTGCACACTCTCTCTCAACATAAATAAATAAATAAACTTAAAAAACAACAACAAAAAAGAAATGTGGCAGTGTCTCAGGGCAGTCCTGGGCAGCTCAGGAATCAGTCTAAGAAGAGAGTGAGCTTTAAGCCATGACCTTGAACACTTGCTCCCAAGAGGCATCTGGCTCCGGGAGCCTCTGCTCTGAATTCTCTGAAGAGGAGCTGTGGGAGGGACGTGCAACATTCTGAAAGACGTGAGCCCTCTGGGAAAGGTGACTACTTTGGGAAATTCTGACCCTTTAACAGAAACAGGATGTTTCCGGGAAACCTCTGGGACCTTTTACAATTCAATTTCTAAAAAGTTTGACTTCCCTGGGCAAGTTGCCATCCCTTAGGGGTAATCTGTAGAAACTGGAAGTGTTTTCTTTCTTTCTTTTTTTTTTTTTTTTTTTTTAATTTTTTTTTTTCAACGTTTATTTATTTTTTTGGGACAGAGAGAGACAGAGCATGAACGGGGGAGGTGCAGAGAGAGAGGGAGACACAGAATCGGAAACAGGCTCCAGGCTCTGAGCCATCAGCCCAGAGCCTGACGCGGGGCTCGAACTCACGGACCGCGAGATCGTGACCTGGCTGAAGTCGGACGCTTAACCGACTGCGCCACCCAGGCGCCCCTCTTTTTTTTTTTAATGTTTATTTAGTTTTGTTTTCTTTTTAATTGTTTTTTTAATGTTTATTTATTTTTGAGAGAGAGAGACAGAGTGTGAGTGGGGGAGTAGCAGAGAGGGAGACACAGAATCCAAAGCAGGCTCCAGGCTCTGAGTGGTCAGCAGAGATCCCGATGCGGGGCTCGAACCCAGGAACCGTGAGATCATGACCTGAGCCCAAGTCAAACGCTCAACCGACTGAGCCACCCAGGCGCCCCTGTTTATTTAGTTTTGAGAGGGAGAAAGGCAGAACATGAGTGGAGGAGGGGCAGAGAGAGAAGGAGACGCAGAAATCCGAAGCAGGCTTCAGGCTCTGAGCTGCCAGCACAGAGCCCTACTCGGGGCTCGAACCCCTGAGCCGTGAGTGAGATCATGACCTGAGCCGGAAGTCGGACGCTTAACGGCCTGAGCCACCCAGGCGCCCCAAGAAACTGCAAGTGTTTTCTAAAAGAAAGAATTAGATCCTCCAAACTAGGGACAAATAAAAAAGGAACTTTGTTCTGATGACTCTGGACCCCTGGCCTGTCCCTGGGGAAGACAGGGCCGAGAGGTTCCTCTTGCAGCCCTGAGGAGGGTGTCAGGAATGCAGCAGGGTGTGATGAGTGTAAGCGTGGACCCTGGAGCCAGTCTGACTAAACTCAGACCCTGGGTCCACCACTTTCTTGCTCTATACACTTGGGCAGGATTCTCCACCTCTCTGTGCCTGGATTCTTTATCTGTCAAACAGGACTAACAATAGAACTCACATTGTAGGATTATCGATGGGAAGCCCACGGGGATGTGGGTGTCACACACAGAAAGCCCCTGGCACAAAGTAAGCCACGGTGAGCTGTTAGCAATGGTAGCAGTACTATTAATTAAGCTACTTAACTTCTCCAGGGATGGGGCGAGGTGGGGAGGGGGCAGAGGGCACCTGGGCAGCGGCTGCCTCACCCTGTCAGGTCCAGCAGGGTCCTCAGGCTTTAGATTGTGGGGGCTCCGACCCATCCCCTAACCTGCCTTTCCCCATTCTCCTCCCTGCTCCCTGGCCTTGCTGTGTATTTCTAACTTGGATCCAGGAATTTAGGTCAGCCGAACGAGGGGCAGAACGGTCCTGGGGCAGGTCCTGGATCTGCCCTAGAGTAGATTTGAACTCTGAAGCCAGCTCCAAACTCCTGAGAACCCTTTAGGGAACAGGGCAGGACTCAGAGATGATTTTTCCACCCCGAGCTTCCTGGGGGCCTGCAAGATGGGACTGGAACTCTCAAGCTTCCCTCTTTAAATAATAATTACAACTGAGCAGCTACTATTCTACATTTTATTTTGTATTTATTATTATTATTTTTTTTTTTT